AATTATCTTTCACAATCTGGTGAGAGGATCAATTCAAAGCTCTGCCTTCAATAATAGACCCGCTTACAAGCGTCCAGAATTTACAAATGGAAAAGGTATTGTGTTTCATCATGACAAGGCCAGACTACATACTTGAGTCTTTTGGTCAGGTTCTGCGTCGATAATCCACAATTTATACTTCATTAAGATTATTTTTCATTAAAGAAAAATTTTATCAAAAATATACAAAAAGAAAAAACGGCGGGACCTTCTACGACTAAACAGGGTGATTTATTTGTTGCGATAGCATCAGAAAATTTAATAGTTCCGCCATTTTTTTACGTATTGCCATATATGTATATTGGCTTGTTCGACTCGTTATTTCAGTCTATTTGGTGGCAAATCACGATCATTTCGCCGATAACATGCTCCGTAGTGATGGTGAGCTTTGCTTCAAAATCATAATGAGCGATAGAGTTCATTACATCTTATTGAACGGCACGGCGCGCAAAACGGAAATCATTATCGAGATATTTGAGAAGCCGCCTTTTCCATGATCAAAAAGTGACCATTTTATGCCGCGTATCGGCCAAAAAGATCATCAGGGTTCATTATTTCGAGAACGAGGCTGACAACGCCGTTACGACCAATCCCGCTTTGTGTTTCAGGGGAAGGCGGATTCCGACTAGCCGACGCGCTCAGCCTATCACACAGTCCAGGTATTGTACACATCATCATTGGGTAGAAGTTTGTTTCGGGAAGTTGAAGATCGTTCCCACTTGAATGCAACTGAGTTTTTTGATAGCCAACTAAAAGGCGGAAAATAAGAGCTTTATCTGCGGAGAAACAGGTAATAATATAGCTTTTAAATATTTTTTCAGTTTTTACACTATTAAAATGTTTAAAGGTTCTCACCGCCTTGCGATTCTATGCAACTGGATGCTACCAACGTACCGTCGGAGAGCAATAGGGAATACCCATAAGTCAGTCGTCAGTAAGGTATTGTATTCTTCGCGTGACAGCAGCAGTAACCGTTCAATGTTGAAGGTTAGATTTCCCATTACCACGCCATTTGCTGGAGGAACTATTGGGGCTATCGATTGCGAAGAAGCCTTCGTCAACCTTCATAAATACCATTCTACCAACAAGCAATTGGTGAGAGTTAATTTTTTTCAATTATTATTGAAGTACACTATATTTGTACACAGATATGTGATCCTTATCGCACCTAATATAAAGTTTAATGCAATTTTCTGCATTTTATGAATTTTTTTTTGAAGAAAGAGCTATAAAAAATCACCCTTCAGATTGCGCAAGATTAGGAAAGAAATTTCAAAATTACGTTAACCGACTGATGGCTAATGAAAGACTAGCGAGTTTACGATTTTAAAGAACCTATATCCCCAGTGTCTTTTGATTCACCCCTGGCAAGTTTGCAAGATTTTTTGCAACAATTTTTTCTTTTTTTTTTATTTGCACACATACATAAAAGTACGTACAACTTTTTTCAAAAGCTTTACTGTTTTTGGAAATCAAATAAAAATTGCTGTTATTACTGTTTTTTTATTAAAGTTATTTAGCAAATATTTTCTTTTCATTTATTTTATTACATCTAGTGAAATGCATAGATTTAGTGCAAGGTGAGAATGAGACCAATTCGTTCAACTACGCCTTGCACTAAAATGCTTGTGTGGTATTTCTAAAAAACCTATTCGAATTAACATTTTGAACAGTTTAAATGACAGCAAAACTGTCGCAATATATTTCTATAACTGTAACATCTCATACTTAAGCAACAACACTAACTCACTGCTACCGCATTCCCATGAATTCTATGAGTATATAAAATTCTAACGCCTCCTCTCCTACACTAACTGACACTTTTTAACATCATTTAGCAATCTTAAACACACATAATAAAAATTTGAGTTTTTTAATGTCAAAATTTGGTTTATTTATGTATGTACATACACTATGTGTAAGGAGAATTCGCGATCTGTCCAATTTTTAAGCTTTTAAAAATCGATACTTTTGAGCTTTTGTTTTTTATTAGTCTTTTTTTTATACAATACTAAAAAAAAAGTTGCTTTTTAGCTGTCGAAATATTTTTAATTTAATTAATTATTAATTAATTTCCATATTTTTCTCATTTTTTTTTTTGATTTTTTTAGTTTTTTAGTTTAGCAATCTCATTTTGTTATGTAAACATTTTTAAAGTGCGTAGTTTTTTTAGTGTTGGTTATATAAGCAGTTATGTAGTTTACAATCATTATTTTGTTTTTGTTTTTTTTTTTGTTTTTTTTTTTAATGCTGCTACAGTTACAACAACAACAACTAATGTGATGGACTATCGCTAATTCGATGTTTAGCGCGTGGTTTGGTGCATGAGGCGCGTCGCAGCGAACTAATACTGCCGCCAAAAGTATCATGATCTAATGATTCCGATGAGAATGCTACTAATATTGGAAGAAAATATACAAACAAACAAAACAAAAAAAAAAAAATATAGAGGAGTAATAAAATAAATAAAAGCGTTGAATTTTTAACATTATTATTATATTAATTTCATTTTTAATTTTTAAACTTTTTTATAGGGAATGTAGATGGATACATTTAAGTGCGCATGTGTGTATGTGTGTGATTGTAAAGAAAAATTTTGACTAAACTCAAAAAAAAAAAATTATCAAAGAATTGATTGCCAAGCAGTAGGACAATCACATCCTTGCAGGACATGGTGGACAATTCGACAAAATTTGATAGATCAAGTGAAAATTCTATGAACAACACCTACTGGTATCTCTTTCATGATTAGCCTGGGATTTACAATAATAATATTATCAAGGGTTTTTTTCAATAAGAGCTGATATTTTGATTAGCCTGCTATGCCGGCAGATGTCACATTTGAAGCTTTAAATTGTTGACTTTTGGCTAGTAAAAATTAAGACAGCAAAAAAATGACACCACACGCGCTTCAATAAAAAATTCAAATTATTCAAATTCACTATACAAATTTTATCGAAAAATCATATTGACTGTTAAGGCCTATTTCCACCTCGATGGCTACGTCAATAAGCAAGACTGTCGCATTTGGGGCTCCACAAAACACAAGATTAATTGTTGAAAAGCCTCACCCTCTCTGCTGCTACTTGGTGCGGTCATTAGACTTTACTTTTTTCGAAAATTTTCCTGGAGCAACAGATGAATGGAGAGATGATTAATGTGTTTTTTAGGCCCCGGATTTGGAGTGTATTGATCTGGACAACGTGTAGCTACAACAAGACGGCGCTACGTGCCACACAAACAACGAAACTATCGATCTTTTAAAAGAAACGTTTATCTTTCGAAGAGGTGAACGCAATTGGCTAAAGAGATATTGTGATTTAACACCTTGCTACTTCTTCGTTCGAGGTCACGTGAAAGATAAGGTCTACATCAACAGACTAACGTCGACTGAAGACCTCATAAATGAACATTGTGAAACTATTGAGGGCATTCAGCAGCCACTTTGCGATTTGGTGAGGGAAAATTTCATACAAAGAATACGGCATTGCAAGCGTAACCATGGCGACCATTTTGCTGATTTTATTTTCCATTATTAATTGCATATCTTTCTCTTTACATTGAAATAAACAATCGATCATTTAACTCGAAAAATACTACTTTTCGTTGAATATCAAAATAACACCTCTTATTGGAAACCTTGGTATTATTTCGGAATTGGGAAGTAGTGCCCAAAGTGTAATGGAAATGTACACATACATATGTACATTCTTCGAACTTATGTTGTGGGATTTTACGGCATTTTTTATGTATATTTATGATACTGTATCTGTACATAGTTACTATAAAAGGGGGTACAAATATAATATAAATATATTTAAATATTATTTTGTGTATTTACCGATGTCATGTTATATCTGTTTGTTGTTTGTAAATGCTACGCATATTACTTTTTTTTACATAAACTTTTAGTAAAAATCGGTGTGGTAATTTGGACGCCTTCAAGGCGTGTTTTGAATGTGTGTTTATGTATGAAGGCGCCATCCATTTGAACATTTCTTAATAATGCATACTACTTATATATGTATATATGTATGTATTTGCAGCTCAATGCTATGTGGCTATAATAAATTCAATATTCGATTAGAGTAAGCTTTAAATGGGTGCACGCATAGTTGGGAGGGAATCTTCTACTATGGCAGTGCTGTCCAAACTAGTGGCCAAGCCACAAATTTCAGTGGCCAACGAGATGACTTTAATACCTTCCTAATATGTGATTCTAATTTTATCCAAAAGACGATTTAATATCTTAACAGAAGCAATTTCATCTTAGCAATAATAAGACAAACAGTAGTTAGCTGTATTGTCCGTAGTATTCGCGTCGTCGCGTTATATTTCTAGACATAAACTTTTGATAAACTTGTGATTTTGGCTTTTATTTTGTGAAGTAAAAAATGAATAATGCCAATATTGAAATATAACGGGAGCAATCACGCCGAAAATACAAGAACTGTCACTCGACTGCGTCAATAAGTCATTTGAAATTCACTTGCCAAATTATTAGTTTATTGTCAAATGAGTTGAATAAGTGTTCAGTTCACGGTAAAATATGGATCGTTTCGTAATTAGAAAAAGAAAACCAGATGAAAGTGGCGGTTGTGAAATAAGTGTTTCAGGTCAAGAAAGCAAAAACGGAATTTCGACTTTTTTTCACTGTTTTTCTTAGGTTTTGGTAAGAGTGGTCATTGATAAATCTATTGGCCGCTTCCGTGGCTACGCCAAAAAAAAGAAAAAATTTGGACAGCACTGTACTACGGCGTTAATTTGCAAGAAAACTCAACTAATGTATGCAAATCAAATAATGTGTTTGTGTATTTTTATAAGTAGCAATACAACTTATACATATCGTTTGAAAATTAAAATAAAATAAATGAAAGGTATAAATAAAAATAAATATAAAAAGACTGCTGATTGTGATATACATGTATGTATGTGTATGGTGTTTAATGGCTATAAATTACCTTTATCTATCGGTGATCCTAAAGTGAGACTGCTGAGACTCGAACTCAAATTATATGGACGTGGTGACGGTGGCACCGGTGTAGTTTCATCACCCGGCAGACAAGTTTCAACCATAGCCTCTAAACAGTTTACAAACAACTCGGATGATTCTCCCATCATTGTATACTGAATAAACAATAAATAATTACAACACCTAAAAAAATACAATGAAATAAACGTCCAATCACCTTTGTAAATGGACCAGCAAAGCGCCAGAGTCCACCAAAACCACAACTTTGTAGGAAATGTAATTGCTGTTGTGAGGGATCCTCGCTGGCGAGCATATTCTGTATGATACTTTGTACGGAATTGAGGACGACTTGATCGTGAGAAACAGAGAGTATGTTGTTGATCTTCTGATCGAGCAATGAATGTCTGTTCAAAAAAAAAAAAAAAGAGCAATGTAATAAACAGTTTGATTTGATAAAGAAAAACAACAACTCGTTTATTTATTGCATTTATTGCAGTTTACTTACATGACTGGAAACACTTTAGGGAAAACCACCGAACCTTCGGCCAGGTACTGATATAGCACGCGCGTCTCATTCTCATCTGTCGAATATTTCACTAATGTAGCCAAGACAGTCAATACCAACGCTTGTGTGGACAAATCGGATATGACCTCGGGATCCAAAAGTACATTAGACTCATTAGAGACGGATGTACGAGAGCCACGTTCCTGTTGAAGGGATATAATTAAGGCATATGATTAGCTAACTCAAATGAATGTACTTTAAAATCACATACTAATTTCAATTTTGAAAGATCCAAAAAAAAAAAATTAAGCATTTCAGTTATTTATTATACAGGCATGCGAGCGAGCAACTAAGAAAGTAGAAAATCAAAAAGTAATATAAAATAAGATAAAAACAGGAAAAATAATTACAAAAAATATGTAAATCAAAAATTAAATAAAATAAAAAAATTTAATCAAAAATTAAATAAAATGAAAAGAACCAAAGTTTAAATAAAAAAGTTTTTTAAAATAAAATAAAACTTAATGAACATTAAATAAGTGATAAAGAGCAATATATAATCAATTCAAATAAAGAAAAAATAATAATACAAATAAAGTAAAGCAAAAGAAGCTCAAATAAGATAAGGTTGAAGAATAACAAAGAAAGTAAATAATTAAAATCAAAAATTAAATCGAATAAGGAAAAAAATAATACAACACAAAATATAACAAAATAATATAATATAAAATATAACAAAATAAAATCAAATAAAAAAAAATGATAAAATGAAGAGAACACGAAAATTAAAAAAATATATACATATTAAAAAATAAAAAAATTTAATAAAATAAAGTAGAAGAAAAAAATAAAATAAATTAAAGTTAAAAATATGAAAAGAACATAAAATTTAAATGAAATATAAAAAAATGAAATAGAATAAAATTAAAACAAAATAAAAAAATGAAATAAGTTCTAAAAAATTATATTAAATAAAATTAAAACAGTGAAAAAATTAATTAAATAGAAATGAAACATATTAAAATAAAATTAAATTAAATAATATAAAATGAAAAATAATATATGTTACAATGTAAAAAAGAAAAATAAAATAATATAAAGAAAAAGGAAGAAAAAAACTAAAATAAGAAATAAAAACATAATATAATACAAAATAAAATGAAATAAAAACAGAAATAAAATAAAAAGATTTTATTATTAAATAATATATGAAAAGCAAACAAATTCAAGTAAAATGAAAGAAAATAAATATAATTAAAAATATGAATGAAAAATATAAAATAAAATAAAAAATTAATGAAATGAAAATGCATAAAAATTAAATAAACCAAAATGGCTAAAATAAAATAAAATTAAATAACATAAAATAAAATACCATTACGAGCAGAATAAAAAATACTGGAATGAAATATAATAAACCAAAATTAGTGTAAATAAAAAACGAAATAAAATTAAAAGAAAATTAAAAATAAAAAAATACGAATTCCAAAAATATATAAGCCTGATTAAATAAATTAAATTTAAAATAAAATTAAATTAAAAAGAAAACTAAAGTAAATTAGAATGTAAAATTATAAAATAAAACAAAAGATGTTAAAATAAAATAAAATTAAAGAAAAATAAAACAAACTAAGCTAAATAATAAATTAAAGCAAAAAAAAAACCTTATATAACGAGCAAAAGGTACAAGATAAAATCAAAAAAGAATGCATAAAAAAACATACAAGTTTAGTAATAAAAACTATAAAAAAAATGAAATTTTGCAGTAAAGAAAATTAAAAAATTAATGAAAATTAAAAAATAAATAAAAAAAAATAAAAAATTAAAAAAAAATAAAAAAAAATTAAAAAATAATGAGATAAAATAATATAGATTAAAGTAAAAAATAGGAATAAAATGAAAAGAACATAAATGAATTAAATAAGCAAATATTTCAAAATAAAATACGCAAAATTATGCAAAGTAGTCCAAATTTAAATAATAATATGCAAATAAATGAGATAATAATTATACAAATAAAATACTATTTAAAATAAAAAAAAAATTAAAGAAAAAAAGTAAAATAAGTTAAAATGAAAGTAAATTAAATTAATTAAACGAGATTGAACAAAATTTAAAGAAAATAAAAATGCAGTAAAAAAGTAAAATTGAATAAAAATTAAAAAAAAAAAAAATAAAACAATATTAATAGAAAATTAAAATAAAATACAATACAAATAAAGTAAAAAAATTTAATGAAAATGAAATAACATAAATGAAAATAATACAAAGTTTAATATCTTAATATAAAATAAAATAATGTAAAATAAAACAATAACAGAATTGCATTATACTCATAAAACAAAAATAAATGAAAAAATTAAAATAAAAAAAAAAATTTTTTTAAAATATAAAAAAAAAATTTAAAAAATATATAAAAAAAAAATATAAAAAAAAATATAAAAAAAATATAAAAAAAAATATAAAAAAATATAAAAAAAATATAAAAAAAAAAATATAAAAAAAAATATAAAAAAAAATATAAAAAAAAAAAAAAAAAAAAAATATAAAAAAAAAAATATAAAAAAAAAATATAAAAAAATAAAAAAAAATTAGAATAACAATACCATTGCACGTTAAATCAATTAAGCAAATTAAATGAAATTAAAATATGAAGAAATCATTTATATGAATGACAGCAATATAAAAGAGAATTTTGGAATTGAAAGCAATGTTCTTATAGTCCCAAATTAAATTTGATTGGTTTTCTGTTATATTTTTTAGTGTTTCATAGTATTTTTTTTTGTTTCTTTTTTGTTCAGTTAATAGAAATACGTATGCATATACATTTCTTCAAAAGGTTTTCATATTTCAAAAGAATAGTGCTGTACATAGATTCCATAGGTGCAAGGGTATGGTGCAAATAAATACGTGTAAATGTGTCTGGTCGTGTGTGCTTTTTTGCAAATTTTACATAACCATTTGATAATGTATAAAATACAAACAGGTGATAAGAGTGAAAATTACTACAAAAAAAAGAGCTAGAAGAATAAATCACGTGACAGTGAGGATAGAACGAGCAAATGTTACATATTTAGATCTAAATCTAATAGTAAATACAGAGATAGAAGAGCACAATATGAATGTAATACCTGACGTTCTTCGATAGCGCTCGTATTATTCGGTTCTTTAGTTGTTGGCACCGAAAAAGAGCGTTGTGTTTTAAACAAAACCTTTGCATTCTTCAGGTTGATAAAAGTTTTATATTTTACGTTTTTTGTTTTTTGTATTTATTTAATTTTTTTTTCGAATATAACAGTGATGATCCATGACAGTTTTCCGAAAACAAAAACAAGTAAAACCCAAACACAGGCAGCCACAAACAGTTATATAAATTATAAATGTTCAAACACAAATAAATTCCAATTGCAACAGTTTGTGAGATGCGGCATAATATTGTTGGGCCGTTATTATCGTCAATTTGAGTGTGGATGGAGTCGCATGCAGTTGTATTTGGTGGCCGAAAAAATATATTTTTTTCGTTGATTTAACGTTGTTTGTATGTGTTTTTTCGTTTGATTGTTGGATAGGTGTTTGGTTGTTCGTTGTTGGCAAAATTGTTTTATAAAAATCAAATTTAAAGTTAACAAAGACCACAAAGAAGTAAAATATAAATTTTTAAAATTCAGTTTTTTTAGGGGTATTTAAATTTTTTTTTGTTGGTATAAATTAAATATAATTGTATTTAACCGTCAACAGCAGTACGTTGAACAAGTGTGTCATTAGTTTTGTTGCCAGTACATATGTATGTTTAATACAATTATGATATGCAAGCACCAATTAATCAGCAGGCAATCATATTATATATTTTAATTTTTACAATATAACGAATAGTTGAACATAAGAGTAGAGAAAATAGAGATTTAAATCAATTACTTTACTTGGCTTATACTTCATTAAAAGCTACGTATGTATGTTAGAATTTTTGAACTAAATGATTTGCAGGACGAACGACGCTGTTCATTATTTTTTATTTTTTTGCTTAAGAATTAATTTAAATTTAAATAAAAAAGTAAATATTTTTTCTCCCTAAAACAAACTAATGTAATAAACAGCCAGAAATAGAAAACAAACATTCAAACATAATAATAATGAGCCTGCAAAACAAAAGAAATTATTTTTATATATTTTTTTAAATTATTTAATTAATTATATTTTAATTGTTTAATTTAATTAAGACATGTCGACCAATATTAAAAGAATTGCCAAAATGAGGAAAAAACAAAATTTTTTTTTTTCATTTGCAATTATACTTCAAAGCGTCTGTGCGTTCATCCTGCTTATAAAAGAGTAAATGAATTGTATTGAAACAATTTCGGCATATATTGTAGATAGCAATTTAAAAATCGAAATTGGTGTATAGTTATGTATATAGTTATAATAATAAGAAGAGAAGCGAGCGCAATTTTAATAACGGCTTACCTGATGTGTGGGTCCTTTATGGTGGCGGGCAAACTGTAAAGCTGATTGATTGAGCATATCCCAAGATTTCTGTCGCCTTGATAGCGGCATGCCGAGTGCCTGCAATAAATACAAATGTATGTGTATAGCATTTACAATAAATTTTGATTAAAAAAAACCAAGCCCTTTACATTCTGATTTCCAAATAAAGCCATCTCCCCATTTTCTATAACACTCATATCGGTAGTCCAACGGGGTATAGCATGTTTGACGTGACAACGTGAGCGCACCTCCTCCGAAACAGCCACCAATGCCGTTAGATAAGCCACACTTTCGGGTGTCACTTCAAATTTGTCACGACGGAATGGTTTAGCGACATAACCTAACAACATACTTAACAGGCGTGATGTGCGAATAACGGTTGCAGGCACAGGATGACGAAAACCCTACAAATAATATAACATAAAATAATTAAAGACGTAAACGTACTTATAATAAAAACAAGTTTTCCATACTTTAATTATATGTCCAACAAGCGCAAAGTGAAAGTTACTGCGAAATGACAAACCAACTGCATGGTCCAGTTGTTTAAAGTGCCACTCAAGTTTCTCACGTGTATTCATCATCATATCAGCTATGTGTTCATTTTCAAAACACCCTTGGTCACTCAACGTATGCAGATTTTGTTCGAGAAACGCCAAACCGGCGGCATACAATGACACCTCGTCCAGCTGTAATACTGAAATAGCGACCCAGAATAATGCACGATGTATGGGAGATTCCTAAAAATACATAAAAGAGAAGCACACGTTAATTTGGACATAAGAATCGATTTCAATTAACGCCTTAACTAACCGGTCTCAGTAGTGGTTGTATACGCGTTAAACATAACACTAAACCTTCAATTAGTACAATGTCATTAAACGACTCCAGTGCCTTTACCAAAATGCGCAACAACTGTTTCACCTCCTGATCGGTTATGCTTTTTATAATGCAACCATAGACGATGAGTGCGCGTGGTTCGAGCGCTGGATTGTAACAGAATGCGAAGTTACGTGACAATGATGTCCACGTTTCTAACCATTGACAGTCCGGCACATCGGGCATACACACAGACATTATTTCCAACAATGCATCGACCACCTCTTCCAAAGAGGGTAAAGCGATACGCTCAACATCAGCTGGCAATGGTTGTGAGACACGCTCATTTCCCAACCATCTATCGGATGGATGACGATAACTGGAACGGAAAGCAGTAACAGCAGCCGATTTGACTTTGCTCAGACCGAATAGAGCATAAAATTTGAATAGAGAGAACTCATCGAGTGCCAAACGGAGAACGCGTTGAGCATTCTCTGAGAAAGTTGGTTTGGTACAAGTAATGAGAGAGTGAATTATGTTGACGACCAGACCGTGTATGGAGGCACGCATTGTTACCGAACCAGAACATATCTGTGGGATAAGGAGACAATAAGTGCATTAATAAAAATACAAAAAATCGAGGGAAGATTTAAAACTGAATTGTAACTAACTGAGAAGCCAAACGTAACTGTTCGGCTTCGACATTTGATCACTCACCAAAAATGTGATAATGTGAAAGAGATATGGTAGATGTGTGGCGACATCGAGACAGTTATTAAACGATAACATGAGTAGAAAACGCGTTAATATGGCGATATCATCCCACATCATATGTTGCTCAAGAAAGTGTGTTGGGTTTGTACAGGTCTTATCCAGCACACGGCACATGCGCATTATAATTTTCTTCGAGACGAGGAGTACATTCGCTGACGCCAGGGCAACTGCAGTATCAGCCATTATCTCGACCGGTGGCGAACCCAAGCCGTAAGTAATTGATTTATGAATGAAATTATCCAGCACCATATCGATTAGATCGGGAATTTGCCCAATCGAACCCCAAATCTTTGCTTGTACCGACGGATACATTTCTTTCTGCTCAATTGTCAGACACACTAATTTATCTAGAATCTGTGAAACTTTCAATTTCTTGGCATCGTCATTGGCTTTACAAAATTTCAATAAATTATTCAACCATGGTGTCATATACTCCAAACATAAATGTTTCAATTCAATAGTGCTACGTTGAAAGCCTTGTATACATTCTTCGAGAAATTCCAGCGTTAAGTGTGGCTCATTAGTGGCTAATTTTTCACTGACTGATTTAATGAATATAGTGTTGTTCGATGGTATACAAAGACCGTGTGCCTCTAATAGTTGTCCTTCGATTTTCAGATCGAACGATGCGGTGAGCGCACAGAGTAAATTATAGGCAGCTAAGCGCAAGGTGGGATCGGAGGTACCAAGATTAAGTAATGCCATATTTAAAAGTGTACCCGGCACATCTTTTGGCCGTATTTTCTGATGTAGCGTCATTGCGTTCGTTTGGCTTAACTCCCAGCGGCTGCGTATATGCATGATGACCTGTACAATGGTCTCACAATCGTTGTGTATGAAACTTAGCTGACCAACTTCATTGGTAATTGAAAGTGTGAACTGGTTATCATCTACCAAAAGAACCTCTTCTACTTCTGATGCATAATAGACATCGTTCAACAGCACCGAGTGTCCCAATACTTTTGTTTTTTCCGCCGAAGTGATTTGTAATGCAGCTGGACCAACTTTGACAGATACTTTGGTATCTTTGTGACTAAGTTTGAGCGCATTGTGGAAGACCTTTAGGTCTTCTTCAAGCGATAACGTGGCACCTGGCAGTTTCAATTGCTCTGGATCGATGTATTCATGAAGTTTGCTGAGTGATTCGACAAATAATAACTTGCGATGGCCCTGAAAGAAAAGAAAATGTTTCAATATTATATTAAAATTGCATAAGATTTTATTTTCTGAACATACTTTTACGGGTAGCAATATTCGATCGTGGTACTTTGTGTACTCACGCACCCATGAATTGCAATTGTAAATATAAACAATCTGTAAACTCTCCACGGAAATCTTTGGCATTACACAAAACCATTTCTGCAGATATTCTGTGCGGAAACGATTTTCCGAACCGGTGTGGGTGAAATCCATGAGCAATTCGAATGGTGAATGGCAGAAATTTCTAAGCGTAAGTATGACATGGTAAAGAAGCATATCGCCATTCGTTTCGCCAATTCTGAAAGGGGCGAGAATTTAAAAATAAATGTGTACGACTTTATTATATTTTCAATTATATTTTTACTTGTAACGCCTTGCAATATAGTAAAATATTGGTAGTCCGGCTTTGCTGGTACCCGCTTGATAAAAGACATTCGTAGCTTTCAAAATTTTGAACTCCTCTTTTTCTGCCATTTGATGTTTAACCATAATTTCTTCAAAATTATGACAGGACATATCAATAGAGCTCCAACGAGCGTATGACGAGAACATCATGCTGCAATGTATGGAACTTTTTTCAAAAATGAACAAATCAAGCTCGTTTAATTTTGTTTATAATTACTGTGAATCCACTGGTTTGTGTTCCGGCGGCCCCAGATAAGCAAGCAACGTGGCCATTTTATCGAATGGACGTCGGCCAACCGCTTTATGATCGCGACTACTAGACAAATAATCGCCAATACGCTCCTGATGAGACCACAAAAGACGATGTAATGCCAAGACATTGGCATCTGATATAAAACTCATGCTGTGCGCTGTCTGATCTACAGTCTCACAATCCGATGCAATTTGTACAAAAAAGTGACGGCCCTGTTCGAAGTGGGCACGTAGAAAATCGTTGAACGAAACCATGTGCTGTTCCTTAGAGAATTCAATATGATTGGCAATATTTTGCAAAATCTTCGACATCAACATGAGGCCGCGTTTAACTGATGCAGGTACTTGACGACTCACAATTCCGAGTTCTTGCGGTGAAACTTGAAGTAAACAAGAAATTATGGTAATTTTTCGAATAAAACAGTGTGTTTTGTTACAAGAACTCACCAATAGCAGGATTTATAAAACGCAAGAAGATTACCGTACCCACGGCGCCAATATTAGTTTGCAGCACGGTGGGGAAGCGTTTGCTTAACACTTGATAGAGACAATGGCACATTGAGCGCAATTGCGAGGGAAAACGATCTACAGAGTTTAATATTGACTCAAAGAAAACTTTAGTAAGCGACATTAAATTCTCCTTATTACGTTCCAAGTCTTCACCCGGCTCCAGTCTAAAAGTCAAAAATTAAAAGGGAACAAATTTTATGATTATAAACAGCACGTCACATACATAAGTGTACTGGATAAATTTACAATATTTTACTTACCTAGCAGGGTCGACTTCATAACTAGTGGAGGGATCATCAAGTAGCGGTTGTATCAGCGGCTCCAATAAATTCTGTAAATAGCTGGCACCGTATATTTTGAAGCAAAATGCCATTATCTTGCTGCCAAGCGAATTGCCGCGAAACAATGTTGACATACATTCCGATATCTCCACTTCGCGATAGAACATATTCCACAGCAGTGGTGAGAGCAGATGCTTAGCATCGAATAGTGTCACCAAAACGCGTGCCAACTCATCCATTTGTGAAGTGGTAACCACATTAGCCAATGCCATAGCTATTGGCAGCTCTCCTTTATCGCTAATCATTGTTACCAGTTGGACCAGCTGCTCGAAACGATCAGCCAATACTGTCTCGGCAAGTGTATCAAACTCAGTGCCCTGTTGCAAGACTTTTGTTAAAACTTCCATAAAAGCAGAACGTGTTTGTAAATCGATATGATAGCCAAGATCAATGGAATGCATTAGACCTGAGTCAATGTTGGCACCAAGCAGATTTGACATGGCTTGTATGGTGGCTTTGCGTAGCGCGCTATGCTTGCCATTTACAGGCGGGTGCGGTGGAAGTAATGGTGGATTAATCGGTTCTTTCTCAGCAACTATATTTTCATTATTACCATTCATGAGATTCATGAAAAGTGAAAAGTACCTGCCGGATAGTAAATAACAATATCAATATTGTATAAACAATAAAGACCAGCACATTTGATGGGCTTACTTCAGAAAAAGTGCGCTCTTTGCATCCATCAAGTCGCCACGATCTGATTCCTCCGGTTGCAGCGGTAAACCACATAGCAAAGCGCCAACGGCTTCCATACACGCAATGTCAAGATCACGAAAGAGGTCGGTATGTCTAGAATGGTTAAAAAAAATTAATTTTTTCTTATTTTAGATGACTGTAATGTAATAGGGTTTCAACTCACTGTGCGAACAATGGTTCACTACCCGGTGGTACTATTGTATGCGTGGTGCCCATAATCCAATCCGTTAAATACTCAACTAATTTATTTCGAAATTTCATTTCTTGTCGGAATGCCAAGTCATCACGTCGTCTCATCATTATCTCTACCAAATTACAAAGACAACCTTTGGTGCGAAGTGAGTACACATTCAACTCGCAATGACGCACATAACGCACAATACCCAGCAACATGCCTTCGATGCTCGTCACACTAAGATACTCCGAAGCAGCTACTTGCTCATTATTTGGATCTTTCACAGGTTTGGGACTCAATATTAAAGTCATTATATAAATGACATGTTCGATGAATAGCGTATTGATTTCAGTAACGTTCACCTGACCCTGCTGATCGAAAAATTTCTCAACAATTGAACGTATTTGATCAAAAAGTATGGGATAGAGCTGCGGCGTCATTTCTTCGGCTATTAAATCCCTCACATTTTTCTGTATATTCGAACCGATTTTTTCATTATTGCACACCAACAAACGCAACAGTTGACCGATAAATCTGTGTAAGAAAAAGTACAAACATTACATACACTGTGATTATACAAAAATCTAAAAAAGCAAGTACTCACTGTGTCACCGGACAGTATTGTAAGTCCTGTTGTGGCACTTGTACTATAGCAGAAACAGGTACTGTGCTTGGATGCAGTAGTGAACCACGTCCGGAACTGGTGGAGCATGAATAAAGTGAGTATAGCGAGACCGCTGGTATCGAAGACATAGAATTCATACTGCCTGATGCCGCTATACTAGTCTGGGACTGCGCCAAGCTATTGTGCGCCTGCAGAAGATTACCCGATGGAGATACACCGCTAGTGGTACTGCCAATTGTGGCATTAGTTTGAAGTTGCATTTGTTTCCAACGTGAAGCTAAACGCTTTTGCAGGCAAACTCCACCCAGCGTTAACAAAAACCAAGTCATATTGGCCCATTCTGTGATGTGCTCCTCCAAATCATGCTCGGAACTTTGATGACTTGCCCGACGTTTACCAACACCACGATGAAAAAGTTCAGCTTGCACATCATCGGTTTTGCATTTTGGATATGTTTGTAGCACTTTGCTGGTCAGCTCCCAGTTCCTGTAGGTAATATTTTTTTTTTTTTCAAATTTTAAAAGGCCATAAAAACAACTTAAGCTACCTGAATGTTTCCTCCCATGCAGTCTGTACACCATCCGCACAATGCTCAATTTTGCGTAATAAACTCATCATCCGACGTTGCAGCGCAAGTCGGTCTAAAGCAAATGAAAAACAATTTATGAATATTTTACAACTCATAGGCGAAATATGGGCAGACATTTGGAAGTTTCACTTACTGTATGCATTGCCGTGATTAGTTTCGTAGAAACATATGCGTGTATCACCAGCAGCTGGTAAGAAAAATTATATTACACTATATATATGTATCAAATATTTTGTGTATTGCCACATTATAGCACTTACAGCTTGCTAACTGCGTTAAATCTTGATAGATTTGATAATTAGCAACTGGCATTACTGTCCCTGAATCATCTGCTGTCATCAAAATATCCGACTCTTCACATATAAGCCCAAAGCAAGAGAGCGATGTCAATACTGCGTCCAGATCGACTGACCAGAGGTACATAAAAAACACCACTTCCAATTTGATACGCGCCTGGCGGCAAATTTGTAACTCATGTCCAACTAGAGCGTATTTTTTGTGTCGTTGCAAGTAAGCATTGCGACAAATCAGTATCTCACGTATCCATTTCAGCACATCCGTAAAGTTGGCGATCTGATGTTGTATAAGCTTTTGTGAAATTGAAAAAAGAACTTGTGAGCTAACATCCCAAAAACAATTCATAGGTGCTTGCGGATTCCACAAATCGATTTTGTCAAACGAGTGTAACGCGAGTAAAGCCTCCATGGCCTCCTGTGCCACATCGGGCATGGTGGGTTGATGAACGAGACTCACAAGACCATTAATGAGTTCGAGCGAGGAACTTTGCATTTCATGTGCCACTTTACATTGAGTCTGAAAAGTAAAAGAAAATTGAATTACACATAAACCACTAAGGAATTTCCATTCGTTTTACATTTAGCAGCAACGTCGGATCAGCATGAATGAGTCGCACTATAAGTAGCAGTAACATTTTATGTGCGGGCCCCTCTTCCGAGCGCGTCAAACCTTTTTGTGCATCTTTCGATTTCAACGTTAACGAAGTTATCATTCGTAATGGCGTATGGGCTATGTAACCCTGTGTGGCTTTATTTAACGTGTCGGCGAAGAGCGCACGCAATTCCGCGGAACGATAATGTACAACATTCGTTTCGGGCCACCAAGGTAGTAGGGGCTGATTAATAGTACGAAAACAATTTTTATTCTGCAAGCGAAAATCTACGTAAATGTGCGTTAATCTGCAAGAGAAATAATAAAATAATGATTATCTTGAACTGCCTTACTGTGTTTTAGCAGTTTACCTCAATAAAGAGCAGACAATTACAAAGTGATAGGCTTGGGGAGATGACAAATTGAGGCACACCTTGAGCGTGTCAATATTATGCGGGTTTAGTCGAAATAATGATACCCAACAGTCGATCATAAGTTCAATATCCGCATAATTGTAGGCTTGACCACGGGAAAATGGTTTTACTGGATTAAAGAGCAATGCCTTCAAGTCATTGATGATGTATTGCACCAATTTAAATATAACATTGTTAGAGTCGTTGATATTAACATAGGTTGACGCTTTACAGAGTTTAACACAAGCAATGGCGGCGTACTCAGTTACTTGTTTTGACGGTGAGTGTGTACCGAGGCCACGCTTTACACCCTCAATAAACTGCTTAGCAGATTGCTCTTTGTCACGTGAGGTTTGTGCCGATGAGGATTGCGTTGAGGAAGATTTATCTTTTTCCTTAGATCTTTCTTTGTCCTTCTCTTTTTCGGATTGTTGTAACTCATTAACTGTAGCTTCCAAGCAACTCTGTTAAAAAAAAATTATTTTTAATCCAAATAGAAAAACCAATATAAATGACTTACTGGATTTAGAATGAGTAATAACATTTGCAGTGGCCAGACAGTGGTTTTATTCTTCTTATTTTCAGTTTTATACGCTTCTACAAACTCGAGGAGCGCTTCCCAGCAGCTACACAAAAAGTTATGAGTAAAATAATAATAAGTAATAGATAAAGCTAAACTAACCTGGAAATATCTTTTGTTGTAACGCCACGCTGTATATCCTGAAATTCTTGGGGATGATATTCAATCCAGTTCCAAATAGCTTTCTCTAATGAATGCAACAAAATGAGAGGTGGTGCCTTCTTTGATCTTGATTTCGTCACTATTTAGTGGAAAATTTATTTCTTCAAAGTACAATAATATAGATAAATCAGTTTAATATTACCTTGCAGTAGTTTCGTTAATTTATTTAGATCCATGTCAATATGTTGTATCAATTCAATATCACAGTAGTCCGGATTCTCATCTGAGCATGTGATTAGTTCTTGTATACGCGCTGAAATTCGATTAAATACTGCGGAAAAATGATTTTGCGAAAGCGCAAAAAGCACTTTTGATGCAATCGCCTTTAGTTGTGCTGCATTTGGATTATTATCGCTTTGTACATCGATGAATTGTGAAATTTCACGTAGCAACAGTTTAACGTTCATTGCCTCCTCAAAACGTGCTGTATCCTTGGTCTGATTAGCCAGACAACGTTCTAATGTCGTTAATATAATCACTAATGATTCAAAATAGGTACGCTCAGTGTCGTGACGATTTTGTAGAGCCTAAGAGAAAGAATATTATTTTTTATGTTTACGTATAAATTACAATACACACCGCTTCGTTGACCCGCTGCAGCATTTTGGTGAGTCCAGAAATGACCAGTGAAAAACGATAACGAGAAATTTGTATAAGACAAGCAGTTAGCTGATCTTGACTTATACGTGCTTGTGTGCCATATAAACCAATTTTATTGGGGAGCTAAAATATATCAAATAAGAATTGAATTTACATACGTACTTTTTCGAAGAGTCATGGAAAATATTTACGGGAGTAGAAATAGTGTAACCTATATTAAATTTATGTGACCTAATTTCATAAATAAAAATTCATTGAAAACGGTTGTGCATATGTATGTGAGACAAAAATTTCCCTAATGCACAAGTTTCCAAAAACAATCCCTTCACTACTTCAATTCTACGTTTTGTCATTCATTCTCACCTATCATCATTCATACACAGCAACTTGTGGCTTTACAATAAAATTTCCCAACTTTCACTTTCTATTCATTCATAAATTCATTCCTATAATCCCCTTTCATTCATAATCTACACCAAACAATAAACAAACCGGTGTAAACAAAACGTAAACAAACTAATTTCCCAAAACAATAACAAACTCTGCCATTTCATTCGCACACAACTGCCATTGCATTCACACAATGGGATATTTTTCAATCGATAAGGGATATTTTTTGACAATCTTTTTGCGTATTCCAACTGCAGCCCCTGGGCGAAACCAAGTGAAAATTCATGTTTTACGCTTACCTGGTCCTCGAATCTTGCTAAGAGTGAGTTCGCCCACTCACCGGGCTTTTGGATCGCCATTTGAAAGTAGTTTTAACTCTTAAATTACACTTTTTACATATTTTTTCATTCTAATAAACGGAGCTACACAGTTTTTACACAGTTTTCAGTTTCACAGATTTTTACTTTATGAAGTTGGCTGCTATTGTGCTGAGGGAATTTACATAAATGGCATAAAGGAATGTCAAAAATGTATGGCAGAGATGTTGGAATTTTCCGTATAGGAGAGATTAACGAATTAACGGAATATATTAAAAAATTGTTAACTATAATAGCGGTCTTCATTTAAACGTGCATAAGGTTGGAAAACTGACATAATTAAGAATTTAAGCTTTTGAATTGGATATATACGTTTTATCTGTTCAGATGAAGACCCCTAATTTGATTTGTGTTATTGGCAGATGCATCTTCTAGTAGGTCACTAACAAACCCCCGCCCTCAAAATACATATGACGCAAAATGTAAATAGATTTAATAGGGAGCGTCCATAAACCACGAAGCTCGATGAAAACGGTGGAGCGGGGTTCGTTTAAATACTACGCTATAGCCACGTCTCTGGGGGACGAGAGAGAGCAAAGCTAAGCAGCTTTCTTCTAAAAAAAAAACGAATATACATATATATTAATTTATTATGTTGTAAGCACTTACGTGATCTGTTAACCGTTACTAAACACTTTTTAAGTCATATATGTGTAAAAAAGGCGAATTTAGCAAGGTGGCGTTACTGGAGCAGCGAATTCAACTCTTTCCATTTAACTAATTCGCTTCAGTACAAAGGCTGTCAAAATGTTGTTTATATTTGGCTTTTTAATTTTCTACATTTAATTTGAGGTTCTAAATGAAAAAATTAAAATTTTCAATTTAAATTTTTTTTTGCCTTGTTCAAATAAAAAATATGGACCCTTTACTGAGCAGAGTTGATATGGCTATTAATCAACGCATTTCGGCCAATAGACCGGTTATGATACCACTATAAGGTTCTTATCTCCACCACGAACCATTTCGCGTGTGTATTAAAGCTCAAGCTAGCCTAATAAGGCAGTGGAAAAGGTCGTAGTGTTCAATGGACTCTTCCTATGCGGCCACAATCATTGGTAATAGTCTGTTTTCCCGTGAGCCCCATTGAACGGTTATCTGTTATTGCACCCGTAGTTATGCTAATGAATAAATGTTTTAAAAGGATATTATGTTTAGATCTTTTCACGTACAATTTTGGTGATAGCTGTCTGGTCATGTTGCACGTTATCGCATTCAACCATTAATGTTTGCATTTTTGGCAAAGGTCAAACTTAGCATATACTTTGAGGGTTCAAAATAAGTGATTTTTTTTATTGCATATTATGAGAGTATAGTAACTGAAGAATGTTGTCTGTAAATAGGAAGTCAATCAGAGCAAAACTCACAAAGATATAGCTTTGGAAGTAGGCGAGCCTCGAACGACTACCTGAGCTGTAACCACTCAGTAGGAAGACAAATTCTCAAATCGATGTTTTTTGAGTCGGTGCACTCTGTATCTCAGAATCTATTCAACCGATCGTTCTCAAATTTTTTACAGTACTTCCTTACATAATTTATGAGGTAACCCTGTCGAGATTTTTTCGTTTTTTATTTTATTTTTTTTATTATTAACAACAATAGTCATGAATTTTGACCAAAAATCGGTATTTTCACTTTCAAGTCTTGTAAAAAGTTCAAAAATTTAAAAAAAAAATGGAAAAACTCGACAGGGATACCTAGAAGGACATAAAAATTGATAGAAAAACTTTGGTTATTTCATTTCAGATGATCCAGTGCTGAGGTATGACGTGCACCGCAAAATGTATTTTTTCTGAGGCGCCTGCGATGAATTGCTGCCATTCGGTCAATTGTAAATATTTTCCAACCAATATTTCACAGAATATAGTTCAATTACAACTCTTTAATGTACAATAATCAGAAATAAATTTACTTTCACCGTACGCCCAAAAAAAAAATCTGTAGAAACCTGTTTTTTTCTGCCTTCAAAACCCTACCCCCCCTTAAGATGGCTCCTTGATAGAGGGCGTTTGTTTTTTCCTATTGGTTCCTGTTTGGAAATCTTGTTTGATTTGTACATAAGATTTATTATACATATTTAGGTACAACGGGGAGATCTATAATTTTTCCAAGTTCCACAAGATGAAGGATCGACATCTTTCTGGACTCGTATTAGCCAACGAAAGCGGCTTGGTATGCATAGACCCTTTTTTTGTAAAGAAAACTACGTTTATTAACTATAAATACTAACTATAATAATTAAAATCAACTACATATGTATGTATGTATGTATACAAACTGCAACTACCAACACAGCGTTAGTTACAAAAACTAAATAAGGGCGGTAATGGTAATTCTAGTAACCTTTTAAGATCGTCCAATGAATTAGTGTTTAATGCCCATTGCTTAAAAAATCCCTTCCAAAGGAGCTAGTAAGAAAACACTCCATTAAAAGAACTACTCTACTTTAAATTAGCAAACCTAAATTTATAAGCAATTTTATTTTTTGTTTTTCTTCTTTTTAGAATTTGGTTTTAAATTATTGATTCAATTCGAATTCGAAGGCGAATTGTGTGAATTTGCCAATTGTTGCACTGAAAAAAAAAATACACGGTATTGTTATATTTGATCCCCTGTTCTCACCTTTAAGAATTCGCCTTGAGTTTACAAATGTATACCAGAAAATTATATATAGAATTATGTAACAATAAATTTTTTGTTAAACATAAAATGTGAACATATCGGTTGTATGTCGGGATGCATGATGCAGTCTTTCGATTTCAATTTTTTTCGGTGAGACCATGTTTATTTGTTGCAACGACTGTATAATACTAAATTGTTTGACGGGGCTCTGGCAAAGATCTCATTTCTGGAAAAATCCGTGGAAGGGGGGTACACATGCATACATACATATGTATATTTCGGTACCGAATTGGTTATTAATTCCATGCTCTTAGACGCTTTACAGACGGATTTATTACTCAAAATCACCGAGCTACAAAATCGTATTTATGTACATATATATATATACATATGCATGCTCTAGAGGTACATCTAGTCAGTCCAGACAAATGATCATTAACTGTAACAGATCTGCTGTGCGCGCCAAGCTTTGTTGAATTATTTCAAAAACTATGTAACTAGTCTGCATACAAACAGCTGGAGATGGCTAAATCAACACAACTCGCCATTCTGATCAAATCGGTATAAATGTTGATGGATTTATCTCTTCTCCCTCGGGTACTCTACGTACTCTGGTATTAAGTTCACTCAGTATACCATTTAATGTACATGAAAGCTATAATCGTTTTAAATTCCGAAGATCTCAAATTCAAAGGCATAGCTTTCAGTGCTGTGGGTATGTGGTTTAACAAAAATTTACAAAAAATCTGTAACGACTGAAATCTAGCATAAAATAGCATAGAAATGTCCATTAATATTTAAAGAAATTTGTTATAAAACAGAGATCTGCGCGCTCCATCTTCTGTGCTTCAACCAGCGGGTTGCACATCCATCATTCTAAATAAAAAGTTAAAACTGTCAACAAGGCAGTGGGAGTCTTGTTGCGAAGGCGCCGAAAGTTTGTTTGATAACATAAGCTATTTCGCTTTGTCGTCATTACCTTTCTAAAAGAACTTGTCTGCCAAGTTACATCTAAATAATATTACTCTCGCACAAAGAAACAGACAAACAGAATATACCGTCAAGACTTACAAAATTTAAGAACAGTGAGAGTTTCTTTTCCATAGTCCCAACACTGTTTACACTACTATAGTTTGGGCAGCTTCACTGAAAGCTCAAAGCTCGGCTTGCGGCAAATTGTGAACTTAGCATTCGTTAATTGAAAAGTTTCAGTCTGAAGTGAACATCGATCGAGTTGAGACGTGTTTTATACAATAAATAAACGTCGAAGGCAGTGAAAGTGAAAAATATACATTCATATCTATAATACTGCATTTTCAAAAGGTGACAAAAGGCTAGCAAATTAAAATTGTTAAAAAACAAACTTACATAGTATAAATACACGCAAACACATACATATGTATATGTACATACATTTATGAAGTAAAATTAAATTTTTTTTAAATAATAATATAAAAAAATATTCCTTTGGAAATTATTATTATTATACAAGTGTGAAATGGACGAATGACCGGTTCAACGGGTCAATTATATCACATTCACAAACAAAATACAACAACCCAAATAAGTCCCAGTAAGCTCTGCTCTACGAAAAAGTTATATTTGTGTGTATATTGCCATAAAAAATGCAATATTTTGCAAACTGCATTTAAAGATTATACGAAAATAATTTTAAATCGATTATACTATGTAAACTGTAAATGAATGCATTGCGTGTAATGAAATATATGAAATAATAGAGCAAAAGATAATAAAACATAACCTTGCCAATACCAAATGCTAATTATTAATGCTAACGCTCTGGGCATATGAAATGAAGAAAAATATGAAAAAAAATACAAACAATGCGAATTTATTTATTTATTTATTGTACACTAACTAAGACCACACGCCCACTCTCGCCCACGCTCACTCACCTTGCGTTACGTGAGGCCAAACTCTCTGAATTATAAAATATTTGCAGTGATTTAGTAGCTTTTTGGGGAAAACCTCAAATTACTCAATTTAATATATACATACATATGTAAATGAGTAAATACATATAAACATATGTATGTATGTATACCTCTAAGCATGAATGCGTATTAAGTGTGCTTCTCAAGCCAATTGTTTTGGCGTTCAGGCTGCTCCTACAAATAATTCATGTGTATATGTATTTTTACAAAGAGTTACTATGCATATATGTATATATATATATATATATTTTTTATATATATATATATGTATGTATTATATTTCCATACATAAAAACTGTAATATGTATCAATGCACAAATTACTTTGCAATTTGGTTTTATTTAATTTTATTATTATAAATCCATTATCTATTGTGATGGTTTGCGTTGCGTTTCATGCCTGGCAACGCCATTATAGTAAATTCACCAAAACTCCGGCTGACATGCATATACATATATGGATGTATATCTTCCCATAAATACCACCTGACCAGAAATAGTGCACCGTGGGTAAAAAAAAATTAATATTTTTAACAAATTTTGAGAATAAAGCACGTTTATCAAACATTAAAAATTTTTTGAAAGTGACCGCAAAAACAAAATTCGCATATGTATTTTTTTTTTTGGTCTTATAGAAATGTCACCAAGCATTAGTCAGTAAGGATGAATATCTGGTTAATAGTGAGTTTATCAAGTCCACCAAGCCACACTGATTAGTTCCAATCAGCTTGTTGACAGTGGGCTTTGGTCTTACATACCAAACACCCGATAGGACATATGTATATGCGATATTTAGGTTGATAATACCACGGTAAGTTGGCACAACATTGTGGTCGCCTCTTTATGGATTGGGCAGAGCACATTTAGGTTCATGTCTTCAGACTTTCGTCCCACTTATATTCTGCCAAGAAATAGCTCTGCCATCGGCTCCAGTCGCTTAGTTGTTCTTTAAGCAGGCAATCGTTTAGGGGCTGGTTTAAATTCAATCTAAGTCACCGAGATCATCTAACGGGAGGCACAGGAAACGTGCTGTTTCGACGGGATCGGACCAGAGGGAAAGGAGGGTTAGATGTGTCGACTTAAGGGGGCTTGTGAAGAGATGGTGCAGATACTCTCCACATGCTAGACATGCGTTGGATATGTTGGGGTCTAGTCTGGATGGGTAGAAGTTTAATCTGCTACATTATCCAGACCATTCGTCATAGTCGGGTAATGGAACGTCTTTTCAACTGTCTCGACAACTGTTAATTCGATAGACTTAAAAATTTAGGACAATATATTTTGGCATTTGATATTTCTTAGCAACAGTTGGATTTTGGCTTCGTTGGCTTTACTATTGTATATAACAATGATTCATCAGTTTTTAATCAGGTCTAAGAAAAGATTAATTTCGAGCGCACAAGCGTTAAGTAGCTGATAAGAATGACTAACGCATATACATACATACAGGCATAGAAAATGTTGGTCATTACCGTTAAAAAGAAAACAGTCAAAATGTTTTACATTATGGATCTCAATGAAAAGCAATCAACACTCGTACATATGTATATCATTTGCAATATCTTTGTGAGTAGAGTATGAGTGCTATTTACGCATGTACATTTCATTTCTACATACATATATTTATATGGATATACCCGTACTTACATCCAAATTTCACTTTGCACAATTTGTTAAAGCATTTTTTGTGCAGTTTTCCAGTTTTCACTTCCTTTCGACACAAAAAAAATATCATACTTTTCGCCATCACTGTACTCACCGGCTCACACTCCGAAGATCCGGCTTGGTATTGTTTAATTTTTTTTTAGAGCTTTAACATTCAGTAAATTTTTGTTTCGATTGTTTTGTTGCAGTGGCGCAAGACGAGACTGAAATATTATCACATATACATATATATTTTTATGCTTACCTCAAATACCTCAATTGTTTTGCTGAACTCTGAATTATTTGGGTAAATTCGGGTTGCTCTTCATACACCACTGCACAATACATAACTAATTTTCAAAATGTGTTGCTTACTGCTTCAGAGGAGCAAAAAAAAAATTACTAAATTTTTACCTCAAAAAGTAGGCTTCAATGAGTTTTGTTTTTATAATTTTTTTATAAAAATATTAAACAAAAAATAAAACATAATAAGAAAGCATAAAAAGTAAAATAAAATAAAAATAGAAAAAACAAAAAAAATAAATTAATACAAAAAAACCAAAGTAATATTAAAAAAAAATTAAAATATATTAAATAAAACGAAAAAATATGAAATAAAAACAATAAAATAAAAGCAAATAAAATTAAATGAAATAAAAAAAATGAAAAAATTTAATAAAAAATTAAATAAAACAAATACAGTAAACTAAAATAAAGTAAAGTTAAAAAAATGTAAAAAAATAAAAAATAAAATTAAATAAAATGAATTTAAATTAAATAATCTTAAATGAAATTATATTAATAAAATTTAATAAATTAAAATAATGGAATAAAACAAAAATAACTAAAAGAAAATAAAAATTTTTAAATTAAAATAACAAACTTTAACAAGCAATACTAAATGAAATTCGATAAAATAAATTAATATGAAATAAAATAAAGTTAAATTAAATTAATAAAATTTAATAAAATAATATAACATAAAATAAATTAAAATAAAAAATATTATAAAATGAATTAAAAAATAATAAAAAATAAAATTAAGCTAAATTAAAATAATGAAAATTAATAAGCAATACAAAATGTAATAAGATAAAATAAATTAATAAGAAATAAAATAAAACAAAGTAAATAAAATAAATTAAAGAAATATAAAATAAATTAAAATAAAAAAAATAAACGTAATGAAAATAAAAAAAGTTAAATTAAATCAAAAAAAAAATAAAAATAATAAATATAATTCAATAAAATAAAAATAACATAAAATAGAAATATATTAAAACAATAGAATATATTAAAACAAAATTAAATATAATAAAACAAAAAAATAAAAGTAATGAAAATAAAATAAAATAAAATAAAATTAAATTAATAAAATTTAATAAATTAAAATAACATTAAAAAAATTAAATAAAGTCAAGTAAAATAAAATAAAGTATAATAAAGTAAAACGAAGTAAAATTAAATAAAATAAAATTTAATTATATTAATGAAATTTAATAAACAACAGAAAATAAAATAAGATAAAATAAAATAAATTAATATGTAATAAAATAAAACGAAGTAATATAAAATAAAATATTTAAAATAAAATAAAAAACAATTTTTTAAATTAATATAAAGCCGATCTTAGTAAAAATAATAATAAAGTGATACAAGTATTTCTCTCACCTCCTTTGCATTCCATTGCAGGCAATTGCGAAATATACGTGTACTCTGTGGGGAAAAATATTGTTTTAAAATTTCGCCTTTCAGAATATTTCTTTTTTTGTCGTTATATTTATTTTTAAAAATTATTATTATTTCAATCTTCTTACTCACATATACTATTATAATGTCCAAATACATATGTATGTATGTATTTGTTATTGACACAAAAGTAATTAAGGAATTCCCGCTCGGTAAAAATGAAATGAAATGTTGCTACGAATTTATGTTAAAAACCTTTAAATGCTCGGGATTCCCCCAACTGAGATTATATTGAGACTGTTAAAACCTTCATTAAGTGTGTGTACATACATATGTACATATATGTATGTATGTAGTTATTGTAAATAGCGCGATTACGTGCAATCGGCGTTGGTTTCCTTTGAAACTTTTTAAAAATGTACATATACTTGCGTATATGTTCATATTATATATATGTATGTGCATACAAATTTGCACATGTGCAAAAATAGTATATATTTACATAAATATATGTATGTATAATAGTAATGACTGCATATTAAGTACATATATGTACGTATATATGATATGTCTATACTATTTTTTCCAGCTTATCAAAGTTTTCAGTAATGCAGCTTTAATCTCGGTAATAAGATCATGGATCAACAAGCTTCATATTATTCCATAAGGAACACAAAATCATTATCAATTAAATATTCTAAGAAGAATCTCAACTCTGCTATATGAGAGTATACAGTTGAGTTGGTATATTTATACGATGATTTCTTGGAACCGGCTCAATCGGATCATACATATACAGACAGGTTTTTGGCTTTGATCATTTTAGGTTAAAAATTCGTAAAAAAATCATCTTAGAACGGGTAATTCAGTGTTCTGCACACGTATGTATATACAAATAAACGGTGACATTAAAAATCAAGGAAATCATCCAAATTGGAAAATTTTATCACATAGTCCTCTACAAACAATTTTTCAGATGCGTGAATTATTATTTAATACTAAAATGACAAACCATGAGAGGCATCTTCCTTTTCTT